AGACCCCCCCCCCGGGGGCTTCTGGAATCTTCTGCCCCCCACTCGCCAGCCACCTTCCCTGCGCTGCAGACAGAGCTGAGTCCCAAGCCCTGCCCTGAGGGACTTCCAGGACAGAGGCCAGCGGAGGGGACGATCCACTGGAGGAGCTGGGGGTGGGGCAGTGGGGTCCAGCCCTCCGCTACTTCCGTGTGCAGCTATTGAGCGCCGGCTGTGTACCGCGGCCTTGATCCGGAGCTTCTGTGGCAGAGCTCAGTCTGACGGGGGAGGCAGAAGACCACGTCTGGGCAGAGTGTCTGCGGACCGCCGCCCCGCTCTGCCAGAGGTGTGGGAGGGGGCCGACGCGCCCCAGGCTTCGCGTCCGAGCCCACCATTTCCAGCGGAAGAGGGGCCGGAGGGCGAGCTCGCTGGGAATGGGAGCCGGCACGGGCTGCAGCGCACGCATGCACTCGGCCGTTTTAGCCATGTTAAGGTGTGCACTTCCGGGGGCTGCCGCCCAGGCCCGACCCTCCTCATCCTCCCGCACCTTCACTGCCCAGCCCCACCCTCCGTCTCTGCACCGCTGGCGACTTGGGGCCTCCTGGGAGTGGGGTCACGGCCAGCCTCTGGCCCTGTGCAGCCGCGGACAAGCACCCGCGGACACCGCAGCCGTGTCCTGGTCATCCCCAGTCAGGGACGCCGACCCCGGCACTGCCCCGGGCCCAGTTCTGGGGGACTTCCGGTTCCCGCCACCCTGGGGTTCTTCAGGACAGCGTCGCCGCGGCGTGTCCCACAGCGGGATGGGCGGACAGGAAGAGCCCCTGAAAAGGCCACGGAGCCCGCCCCGCCCCTGAGAGGGCGACCAGGGGGTCGGGGACCCCGCGTTAGGAACCGGAGTCCGCGCGCATGCGCAGTGCCTGCTCTCCTGCGACACAGAAACGCCCGGGCAGGACGGGCTCGAGCGTGAGGTCAGCGTGAGGTCAGCGCAGCCGGCCGTGAGGTCAGCGTGAGGTCAGCGCGGGGCTGGCGAGGTCGGCGTGGGCTCTGCTCTGAGGTCAGCGTGGGCTCGGCCGCCAGGTCAGGGAGGGGTCGGCCGGGGTCTTTGGTTTGGCTGAGGTCGGCGTGGGCCGGCTGAGGTCAGGGGGCCTGGCTGAGGTCAGGGGGCCCGGCTGAGGTCAGGGGGCCGGTTGAGGTCAGCGTGGGCTGGCTGAGGTCAGGGGGCCAGCTGAGGTCAGGATGGCCGGCTGAGGTCAGGGGGCCGGTTGAGGTCGGCGTGGGCTGGCTGAGGTCAGGGGCCCGGCTGAGGTCAGGGGACCAGCTGAGGTCGGGGGGGCCCGGCTGAGGTCAGGATGGCCGGCTGAGGTCAGGGGGCCAGCTGAGGTCAGGGGGCCAGCTGAGGTCGGCGTGGTCCTGGCTGAGGTCGGCATGGGCTGGCTGAGGTCAGGGGGCCAGCTGAGGTCAGGGGGCCAGCTGAGGTCGGCGTGGTCCTGGCTGAGGTCGGGGGGGCCCGGCTGAGGTCAGGGGACCAGCTGAAGTCAAGGGGCCAGCTGAGGTCAGGGAGCTGGCTGAGGTCAGGGGATCCCGGCTGAGGTCGGGGGGTCCCGGCTGAGGTCAGGGGGCCAGCTGAGGTCAAGGGGCCAGCTGAGGTCGGGGGGGTCTCGGCTGAGGTCGCCGTGGACCCGACTGAGGTCAGGGGGTCCCAGCTGAGGTCGGGGGGTCCCGGCTGAAGTCGGTGTGGGCTGGCTGAGGTCCGCGTGGGCCTGGCTGAGGTCGGCGTGGTCCTGGCTGAGGTCAGGAGTGGCCGGCTGAGGTCGGTGTGGCCCGGCTGAGGTCAGGAGTGGCCGGCTGGGGTCAGGATGGCCGGCTGGGGTCAGGAGTGGCCGGCTGAGGTCAGGAGTGGCCAGCTGAGGTCGGTGTGGCCCGGCTGAGGTCAGGGTGGACTCGTGGTGCATCTCCTTTCCGCTGTCTTTCCTTCTGTGGGGTTCAAGGACCATCAGGAAGTGTTTAAGGGTCCAGTCTGCCTCTGGTGCGGGGTCTGCTCCCTGGACTGTGAAGTCCCTGCAGGTCCCCTGTGCACCGCCCCCAAGCACCGCCAGGCCCTCCAGGCTGCCACCCACTCTGTGCTTTTGTCGCTCGCTCGCTAGGAGTCTTGTTTGGGAAGGCCGGGGTGGGTATCATTCTGGAAGAGGGTGCTGCCTTGTGGGGGTCCCAGGCTCCGCTCACCGTGACAGGCACACAGTGCTGGGGGAGGGCAGAGGGGCTCCGGCCGGGGCGGCGCTCACCGAGGTCACGCCAGGAGCCCCACGTGTGCGGGTGTTGTCCCCAGCCAGCACCCGCCGATGCTGTGCCCCACACAGAGCAGCCCCGGGCAGGCTGTTAAGTCGCCTGGGATGGGGGATGGTAGACAACAGAGACCAGGCGGCCGGGCTGCACGGCCTGGCTGCCGTGTTTTTTTTTTTTTATAAGATTTATTTTATTTATATGAAAGACAGAGTTACAAAGAGAGGTCGAGACGGAGAGAGAGCTCTTCTGTCTGCTGGTTCACTCCCCAGATGGCTGCAACGGCCAGAGCTGTGCCGATCTGAAGCCAGGAGCCAGGAGCTTCCCCAGGTCTCCCACGTGGGTGCAGGGGCCCAAGGACTTGGGCCATCTTCCACTGTCTTCCCAGGCGACAGCAGAGAGCTGGATCAGGAAGAGGACCTGCTGGGACTAGAACGGGCGCCCACATGGGATGCCGGCGCTTCAGGCCAGGGCTTTAACCCGCTGTGCCACAGCGCCCCCCCACCCGGCTGCTGTCTTATTCTAGGTGGGGTCTCCAGTATGGATGAGGGGTGACCACATGCACGGATGGACTAGGACAAGTTGGCACTGGATTCGGCGGTGTCAGCCTCCCCTAAGGACGAGTTCTAGCGAGGGAAGGACACGTCCTCTCTTTTGCAGTCTTTGGGAAAATGAGGAGCCCTGTGCAGCTCAGGTTACCTTGGTTTGAAAGTGTGTGTGTGCGTGCATGTGTGTGTGTGCGTGCGTGTGCGTGGGTGCGTGCATGTGTGGGTGTGTGCATGTGTGTGGGTGTGTATGTGTGTGCACGTGCGTGTGCGCATGCACATGCTTGGGTGTGTATGTGTGCACGCATGTGCATGCGTGTGGGTATGTGTGTGCACGTGCGTGTGCGTATGCACATGCGTGGGTGTGTATGTGTGCGCGTGCACATGCGTGGGTGTGGCGGTGCAGTGCATTCAGGAGTTGGGTTTGTCCTGGTGCCTACGGCAGGCTGGTCTGCTGGGGTGGGGGAGACAGGATGGCCCAGGGCTCTGGCTTGACATGCTGCTCACAGGCCGGGAGCAGGGTGGGGTGGAGGCGGGTCAGAGTGGGGTGGCTGAATGAGAGGCTCCTGAGACGGTGTGTGCCGACAGCCAGTTGAGACGGGGGCACCAGGGTCAGTTGTGGGGCACGGAACCCCGGGGACACCCCCACTTAACAGGCAGGCAGAGGGGCCGAGTGTCCAGGGAGTGCATGAGCGGTCAGGAGGAAGCGGGCCTGCGAGGGCGGGGCGGACCGGGCTGCGGTCAGCAGCGAGGGACCCGTCCTCTTCCAGTGGGCCGTGTGAGCCGGCCCCACCCCCCTCCTTGGGAAGCTGGGCCTGTGGGGGGGAAGGGCTGGAGGCAGCGAGCCGCAGGCGGGAGGCTGCAGGGCCGTGGCACACGTGGGGCTCTCCTTTGAATCCGGGCCTGGTGGGGTCTTAGCCGCTGAGTCGCCCGGGGACACGGCTGCCCTCGTTCAGAAAGGACAGAGCGCCATGGAAACCTGCCCGCTTCCCCAGGCACGCAGCGACCGTCAGGGCCGGAGGTGCTGGCCGAGACCCGTCCTCGTCCTCCCTCTCATCTGTGTTCCGAGCCCCACGGCACAGCTCAGGGGAACGGGAGCCGGGATTCCTGCTGCTGCGGCTGCTTTTCCGCGTACCCGGGGACCTTGGCGGTGTCTCACACTGACAGCTGACTTGGCCAGGCCCTGGGGGCTCCCATCTCACCTCCGAGCCCCGCGCGCCCCTTCCAGGCCTGGCCGAGGGCTCCCGGGAGCACCAAAGCCCATGGCAGGAGCCGGGACGGGATGCGCTCGGATCACACGTGACGGGGCCTGGATGAGCGTGCATCTGTTACACATTTCCCAGTTTATTCCGCCTGGCCTCGGGCCCAAGGGTGGGCCTGTCTCCCTTGGTCCTGTCGCTCTGAGAGGCCTCGGGGTGGCGCCCGTCCCGTCGTAGGCCCAGCCTCACTGGGAGCTCCCGCAGTGTTTGGGCGTGTCCGAGGCTCCTCTGCAAGGCAGGGTTTCCAGGTGAGCCCAGTGTTGGGGCACAAAGATGGGCTGTGCAAGTGCTGGTGGGAACTTGGAGTGACTGAGGGACTGAGGGCCCGGGGCCAGGGCAGGCGGTGGTGGGGACCCAGAGCGAGGTGTGGGACAGACCCCGTCGCCAGCCCTGTATCGCTTGTGGCGGATCTGTGTGACTCCTCCCCTGTGCCTGACACACTCGCCGGGTGGACCACGTGGACGCTGGTGCACGTGCGTGTGCAGTTTCTCGATGCGGTGGTTCTCACTCGGATCCGAGCACAGGTTCAGAGGGCCTGGAACACAGGCTCGGCGAGGACCCGCCCCAGGGCTGGGGGTCTCTGATGTGGACCCAAAGTGAGGGATTTACAGGGAAATCAAGACACGCACCCACAAAACATCCCCGCACCCCGAACGTCAACAGCAAGGAGCCCGACAGCGGGCGTCTCATGCCTTCCAGGAGAGTCCGGAGAGCTGATGTGCAAGGTTCCTGACTCTTAAATAAACACCCAGTTCCAGCGGGCACGCTCCTTCCTCTCCCGAGCCATCCAGCCCCAGGCCCCACTGCCCCCCGTTCAGGGCGATCCTAGCCACGGTCTGCACCGCTCCAGGGACGCCACTTGGCCCCTGGAGCCTGGGCCTGCAGAGAGAGCGGCCGGCCGCGGAGACGCCGCTGCTGTCACTGGAGGAGTGCGCGGTCAGACGGGCTAAACAGAAGCTTTATTTCGTTCTGGAGGGCGATGGGGGCTTCCACGTGTGAAGTTACTTCTTAAATGGAGCAAGGCTCTGCCGTGCTGGCCGTGGTAGAGCCGGGCTGGCTTGGTCTAGGAGGGCTTCCAGCACACGTGAGCGGCACAGCCAGTCAGGGCCGTCGCGCTGTTGTGTTCGCTGTCGGATGCCCGTGACGAGCGAGAGCCCCGCTGCCGCGGCTGCTGGCTGGAGTTCCCCGAGCTTGGCTCTGCCCATCAGTCTTGCACTCAGCCGGTCCTTCCTCGCAGGGCACGTGGCTCTCTGGGGCCACGCTGCACCCGGAGACTGCGAGCCCCCGAGAGCCCCCCACGCGCACATGCCTCCCCTCTGGCTCCGCTTCTGCTCCTGGTGGCCTGGCCAGTCCCAGCCCCTCCCTGCGCTGTGTCTGTTGGGTGGGTGTGAACCAAGAAATGCAGAGCCCGTGGCACTGTCTGGAGTCGTTTTGTCATCCGTGGCTTCTGAGCCTGGGGCGTCCTCTGTCTCCCAGCCAGGGCGAGGGAAATAGGATCCTTCCGAGGCCTGGCAAGAGCTGAGTCACTCACCAGTCTCCCGGCAGCTCGACGGGGCCTGGGGGCAGCACCTGTGTGGAGGCCTGTGTACCTGGCCAGACGCCCTGCCGCTCAGAGGCCACTCCAGCAGCGTGGGGGCTACACGTGTGGCCCAGTCTGTCCCCCACCGACACGGCGGTGCTGTGGCCGGTTCTCCCGTGTTCTGCATGCTCGTAGGATGGTGTGGGGGCAGAAGGGCCCTGTTCTTCTGAAGCCGGGGCTGCCCGGCTGTCACGGCAGGCAGGCTCTGCCTCTGTCCTTCCGTTCAGAGCGATGTGGATGCGTCACAGTGAAATCAGGACAGTGAGAGCCCTGCCTGGGCACGTCCCGCTCCCCTCCCCCAGGGAGGTGTCCACGGTACCAGCAGGCTCAGCCCCACCCACTGCCCAGCCACCTGGCCAGGTGTGTGTGGGGGTGTCCCTCCGTGCCCAGTGCGGGAACTGGGGGGCCACCCCCACAAGGCCAAGTTCCAGGCTGACTCCCCGGCCCGTCCCGACAGTGCCCGGCCCTTCGGCCCGCAGCCCTGGAGCGCCCTCGCCGTCTCTGCCTGTGCCTTCCCCACAGAACAAAGCCGCGCTGGCAGTGGGTGGCTCTCCCCAGTACAGGGACTGGGGCCGGTGCAGGAAGCGGCAGAGCGGGGACACAGGCGTGAGGTCGTTCACGGGGAAGGCAGGCAGGGGCGTTTTCCTGGGACTCGGTCAGCGGGCTGATGTGGACTTCGTCAGCCCTGCCCCTGGCCGAGTCCCGTGCTGCCCCAGCCCAGCTCGTCCCCACACCTGAGGCACAGCTATCCCTGATTCAAACCCAGTCCCCACTTCCTGTGGTGAGCGGCTAGCACAGGGCACCTTTTCCAAGCCGGAACCCCGAGGACGAGCAGGCGGGGCCTCCTGCCACCCTCTTGGTGCTTCGGAGGCGTCTGGTAGCTTTGACCGAGCAGACGGGCAAGGATGGGGTGGCTCCACGGGCAGCAGACCCGAGTGCACGAGTGGAGGCGGGGTCCGGGGCTCACTTGGCCGTCACCAGGCCGATCAATGAAAAGAAATTTGGTTTGGCAGCTCATAGGCCAAAGAATGAAACGCGCAGGCCCCGTACGGGGGCCTAAGGGCTGGGCAGTCCTTACCTCTCGCCCCTTCCGCTCGCGGGCAGGGGGCAGTGAGAGGGTGTGCTCGGTCAGGGATGTGTCACTGCCCAAGGGGCCTCCCCAGCCCGACCTGTCCTGAGAGGCCCCCGGCCTGGGGCTGCGGCACTGGGGCTCTGCCACAAGCAAGGGTTCATCTTGTAGACTTCGGGGCCCTCTGGGGGCAGGGAGCCAGGCACACAGCATGACGGCTGCCGCCTGCCCCAAGCGAGCCCAGGGAGGCATGTGTCACGCTGCTCCTGGGGCGCCTGCTGGCTCTCAGGTCTCGGTGGACCCAGTGCCCAATTCTACCCAGAGTCCTTCCCGGGGAGGGCAGCTCTGGTGGGCAGTGCCCCAGGCGGGAGGGGAGGGGAATGGGGAAGGAAGAACTGTGTGGCGGGCCGGGGTGGGGTGCAGCTCACATCAGGGCCCTGCTGCTGCTACCCTCGTATTAACCCCTGCCCCACTGGCCTCGTGGCCGTGCCGGCGGCTGAGGTTGTGGCAATGCGGGGCCAGTGACAGTGCCCCCAGGCTGCCTCCCGCTGGGCAGCCGTGCCCAGTCTGGCCAAAGGCAGGCTGTCGGCCGCTACAGAAGGCATCTTCCCAGTGCTCCCTCCGTCTGGAGGGCTGGAGGTGAGGGGGTGATGGAGCCACTTGGCCCTCCCAGAGAATGATGGAGAGGCACTTGGGATTTCTTAAACAAAGAAGCAAAGCCAAGGAGAGAAACCCGTGAGGGTGCTGGGTGGTAAGCAGGTGCAGTTCTGTTCCTGACAGGGACGGTCCCCACCTCTGGAGTGCGCCTTGTTTCCTAGCGCTAACCTATCCCTGACAGCCATCGCCATTGGGGGGTGGGGGTGGGGACGGGAACCTGGGATGGGAGGAGCTTTTCTTCGTGGGCAGGAGCGGAGCAATGACGACATCGTCGGAGTCGTCGGAGTCCACGTCGTCCCCGGGCTGCAGCCCCGAGGGGGAAGACCGCGCTGCAAGGAGGCAGAGACAGGGTCAGCCATGTGACTGCACGCGCCGAGAGGGCGTAGACGCACACCGCAGCCCTTCCCTGGCCCTGCTGCAGCCGGGACACGCCAGCCAGGAAGCCATCCTGGTTTCCAACTCGGCTACGTCCAAAAGCCAAACACGAGCACAAAGTGAAGGCTTGCCAGCCCCGAAGAGGCCCTGCGAGCGGCCCTCAGAGCGTCCCGGGAGACGGCTGCAGAGAGCTGGCGGCCAGCGCGTGTGGGAGGCCGGCCCCTGGCCCCACAGGCTGGTGGGGGGAAGCGTGGCCGTCTTCCTCAGTCTGCGCTGGGGGCGGGCGACCCCCGGGGCTCCCTTGGACAGATGGGGGTGGGCCCAGGCTCAAGAGCCTGAGTCTTACTCCTTCAAAACCTGGTAATTTAGAGGGCAGGACGGTGTCTGCGCCGGCTTCCTGCAGGGAACCGAGGGCACAGGGACATCAGGAAATTAACTGGGAGTCAAGGCCATGTTCACTTTTTTCTTTACAAGCACAGTGAGCTCAACGCAGGGCTGGATTTCACAGTGCCCTGGTCCTTGTGTGGACAGAAGCTGACCACCGGGGCACATTCTGCAGCTTTCACACGGCAGGTGGGCCTGCCAGCTCCGCCAGCTCCCCCAGGGCAGCGGGCAGCGGGCAGCGGGCAGCGGGGCCCTGGGGCCGGCGCATCCTCCCCCAGGGCTGGGGCTGCTAATCTGGGTTTGCTGAGCTTCACAGTTCAAAGTTCTAGATCTGACAAAGCTAGGAGAACCTGACGGAAGTGGAGAAGCCGTGATCCCACAGGTGGTACCGGGGCACATCTCCAAGCAGCTGCCTCTGCTGAGCCCTGGGGCAGGGTGGGGGAAGGGCCAGTCTGGGACTCCGGGACCGCACACGTACCAGAGTGGGCCTGCGGGGTTGCTGGCTGCTCCAGGTCTTCCGTGGCCTCCCGGCCGCTGGCTTCACCGTCCTCACCTGAAGAGACACACCCACTGGAAGCACCACCGTGCACACAGGGCCCGCCGCCCGCCCGTCGTGGGGAGTGCTCCTCCTCTGTCCCCGGTCACCTGAGACCTGAGAGCCCACTGCAGTCCAACGTGTGTGAAACCTCCCTGTGCCCCGGCACAAAGAAAACCCCAGACTGCGGTCCCTGAACCTCCGGCACTGTTAGCTTTACAGGAACAGAGCTGGGGACGGGCACTGGTTTTTCAGCTGTGGAACCGACAGGGAGGTCCTGTGGCCTTGGCCAGATCAGATTGGGGGCGGGGCGGAAGTGCCCTGGGAGCCATCCAGCCCTTGTCTGCACGGTGCACCAGGAGACTGTGGCCCACGGCTGGGCCTGCTGGGATGCACGCTGGTGTCAGGTGCAGGGACCTCGCGGGAAATGCAGTAGGGCTGTCCTGAAGACCAACAGGCGAGGCACTGGCCTGAGGGAGAACCCGCCCCGCCTGAATAAGGCCAGAAGAGAGAGAAGAGACAGAAGCTGCGGAGCTCAGCCTGGGTGGCCCAGGACCTGGCTGGTGACGCTGGGGACCGTGCAGCGAGCTACCTCGCAGGGCTCCCGGGCAGAGGCGTGACTTAGTGTGGGATAAACCTCCCTGCTGCCCTCCAGTGGCCACACTTAACAAACCCTAGAGCGCACGCGCGTTACCGGGGGAGGCCGTGCGGTGGGGCGGTGGAGGCGTGGTTCCGCGCGGGGCGGAGGCAGGTCTGTTCCTAGCAGAGGCCGCGCTGGCTGCTCTCTGACTGGTCGCGCTGGAGAGAGAGGAAGCCGGGCTGTGGGGATGCATCCCGCCAGGCCTGTCGGGTTGGCCTGGACACTTCCTCTGTCCGTCACCCTGGGGCAGTGCGGAGGTCAGGCTGTCCTTGCCCCCTCTGCCTGCAGGTGGGGCCAGCAGTGCTGTGCCCGGGACGTGGAGCACACAGCCCTGCACCTGAGACCACGGCCGCTCCCAGGGCCCATGGAGCGGGCTCTTGGCAGTGACTGTCCAAGGCAGTGGGGAGCCGCCACCGTCTTCCAGGGACACTGAGATACAGCGTGTGCCCCAGGAGAGACAGGAACGTGGCAGACATGGGCTGGGATGTGGGGAGGGAGTGCTGGGCTCCTGCGCCGAGCCTGGCACTGTCTCGGGCTCAGGGGCACCTGGGGTCTCTGCCTGTGGGCGATTCTCCCCGTTGCCTCCCGGATGCTACACAGAACACAGAATGGTGCCAGGGCTCACGGCAGGAGGGCTCGGGTGGCCCCACTCCTGTCAACACAATGCTGTCCGGGCACCGGGGGCAGCCAGTGCATGGCCAGCAGTTCCCGTCACTCTGTGAACCGAAGCCCTTCTGTCCGTCTTCTCGGAGAAGGTGCTGCTCTGGGAGGGCCGCTTCCCGAGGGAGCTGCCAGTCACATCCGCGCTGCTGCAGGAACTTCTCCAGGGGCGTGACGGCGTGCCGCACCTGCTCACCGCCCGACACCCTGCCGGCTGCCCGCAGTGGGCGCTCTGTGACCAGACAGCAGTGCCCGTGCCGGCCTCACCTGAGCCTGGCCCGTGCCAGGTGTCCCCGCAGCGCCGACTGCACCAGGACGACGGCCGCCTCTGTGCTGTGCTCGCCCGGGGTCACGGGGCTTGGACTGCGGGGCGTGGGCGAGTCCTGTGCGTAGACAGCAGGAGAGGCCTGAGGGCGCCAAGCAGACTTCCTGCCCTGCCCCGCCCCGCCCCCCCCGCAGAGACACTGGGGATCCTTAAACCTTTCGTGGTCTTAATGAGCAGGGGCTGACAAGGTGTCTGTCTCGCGAGACGCAAGCGCAGCCAGCCCAGCCCGCTGAGGGAGCTGCTCCGAGCTAAGCCAGGACCGCGTGCTTACCTGAGCTGGGCGGCCTGGCCCACCGGGAGGCTCTGGGCTGCGCCCTTGTCTTGACAGCAGCTGCGCCCGGGCGAGATGTCCCCTGAAAGCTGCCTGAAGCGCCACCGCTACCTGTCAGGGAGAGGAGAGGGCGTGGAAGGTGATGTGTACCGCCGCGGGGACTCCTGGGAAATCTCGCTGAGATCTCCCCGGGGGGAAGAGGCACAGGTGTGATTCCCCGAGTCTCGGGATAGAAAGGAAACAGGCTGTTACCCACGCTGCGCTATGCTAGCTTCCAGGAGGCCCTTGTTTCAGCTCCACCCCGGGAGGGCCTGTTCACTCCATCTACTTCCCGTGTACACAAGGAGGCCAACAAGTTTGTGGAAAGCAGATTTAGAAGATAACTTATTTTAGTGAAAAAAATTTTGAAACCTATACAGTTTTTTTTTTTTTTTTTTTTTTTTTTGACAGGCAGAGTGGACAGTGAGAGAGAGAGAGAGACAGAGAGAAAGGTCTTCCTTTGCCATTGGTTCAAAGGCCGCCTTGGCCGGCGCACCGCGCTGATCCGAAGCCAGGAGCCAGGTGCTTCTCCTGGTCTCCCATGGGGTGCAGGGCCCAAGCACTTGGGCCATCCTCCACTGCACTCCCGGGCCACAGCAGAGAGCTGGCCTGGAAGAGGGGCAACCGGGACAGAATCCGGCGCCCCGACTGGGACTAGAACCCAGGGTGCCGGCACCGCAAGGCGGAGGATTAGCCTAGTGAGCCGCGGTGCCGGCTCCTTTTATTTTTCAAAGATTTATTTGAAAGGCTGGGGCTGGCGTTGTGGCACAGCGGGTTAACGCTCTGGCCTGAAGTGCCAGCATCCCATATGGGTGCCAGTTGGAGACCCAGCTGCTCCACTTCCAATCCAGCTCTCTGCAATGGCCTGGGAAAGCAGTGGAGGATGGCCCAAGTGCTTGGGCCCCTTCACCCGCGTGGGAGACCCCAAAAAAGCTCCTGGCTTTGGATTGGCGCAGCTCCAGCCGTTGCGGCCAATTGGAAGAGTGAACCATCGGATGGAAGGCCTTTCTCTCTCTCTTAACTCTTGACTTTAAAATAAATAAATCTTCTTTAAAAAGAGCGAAGTTAGGGGAGAGAGAGAGAGAGAGGTTTTCTATCCACTGTTCACTCCCCAAATGGCAGCAACAGCAGAGTCTGGGCCAGGGTGAAGCCAGGATCCTGGAACTGCGTCCAGGTCTCTCAAGTAGGTGACAGGACCGCAAGCACTTGGGCCATCTTTTGCCTCCCCAGGCACATCAGCAGGGAGCTGGACTGGAAGTGGAACAGCCAGAACCCAGACCAGTGCTCTGACAGGGACTGCCAGTACTGAAGGCTTGTTTACCACTCGAAAGGCACAGTTAGAGTGAGGTGGGAAGACAGCGATCTTCATCTACAGGTTCACTCCCCAGATGGCCGCCACGGCTGGAGCTGGGCTGGGCTGATGCTAGGAGCCACGAGCATCTTCCAGGTCTCCCATGTGGTGCAGGGGCCCAAGCGCTTGGGCCATCTGCTGCTTTCCCAGGCCACAGCAGGGAGCTGGATGGGCAGTGGAGCAGCCGGGACTCCAGCCTGCTCCCATATGGGGTGCCGGCACTGCAGGCGGTGGCTGTCCTGCTACGCTGCAGCACTGGCTCCTGCCTCGCAGTTTCTCCTTGAGATGCATTTTCCATGAGCTTCTGAAATCGAGCAGTGCAGAGCAAGCTGTCTGGACACCCGCAGCCATCTCTGGGGTGGTTTATCCTGTGACCTGGGTCGTGAATGGTTTCCCTACGAAGTGTGCAGGTGTGGAGTCAGCGCTGTGTGTAGCAGTGCTTGGCCGAGGAGGAGGGTGAGCGCGCGCGACGGCCCTGGTGCAGCGACAGGAGCTCAGGGTCTCCGCGGGTCCCGGTCATGTCGGAGGAAGGGCAGGAGCAAGCAGTGGATGGCGGCCTGACTTTTTAAATTCATTTCTTTATCTGAAAGGCAGAGTTAGAGACTCTTCCATTCGCTGGTTCACTCCCCAGATGGCTGCAACTGCCAGAGCCAGGCGGATCTGAAGCCAGGAGCTTCTTCCAGGTCTCCCACGTGGGTGCAGGGACCCAACCATTGGGCCATCGTCCGCTGCCTTCCCAGGTGCATTAGCAGGGAGCTGGGTCAGAGGTGGAGCAGCCAGGTCAGAGGGATGCCCACACAGGATGCCGACGGCGGCTCCTCCCGCCGCGCGGCCTGACTCCTGAAGCTGGGCAAACCCAGGCTCGGGCAGGGAGGGGGAGGACTTCATCTCAGACACGCCGCGGGGCAGCATGCGGACTTGAGGCCTGTGCAGGCAGCGTGCTGGCTCCCTGCCTGAGCCCGGGGGCGGCAGGCAGGGGTCCAGGCACTGCCGCTCAGCACGTGGACGCTCTGGTGAGAAGGCGGAAGCGTGGAGACGCACAGGAGCCGGGCAGGCGGCCTCTCGGGAAGGCCTCTCAGGGAAGCTCCGGCGAGCTGAGGACTGCGAGTGGCCCCTGGGTGTGGGAGCTGGTGTGCGGAGCGGCCCCTCCAGCGTGGCGCCCACATGGGGGCGGCCGAGGGGTGTCACCGCAGGAAGCCACCCTGGGGAAGTGTTGGCAGGAGGGTGGGGGCTTCCTCTCCCTTTTAGCTTTTCAAGTGTTCCCGCCTTAACTTGGAAGGACAGCTCAGTGGCACTAATTCCATGCCCTGTGTGCGGCCATCACCCCACCCCAAATGGAGCCATTTGGCAGCTTCAAGTCCATTGCCAGTGGAGTCCCCAGTGGCCTCCTGTGTCCGGCTCCCTTCACTCAGTGTTTCCTGGGTCACCCACCCGCAGGACAGGCTGTACGCGCTCGTGGCGCGTCAGCTGAGGGACATCCGGGTGACCATCTGTGGATGGGGCACACCCAGGAGAGGAAGTGCCGTTCTCCACATCCACACCAATGCCTGCTCCTGGCCGGTTTTGCCCCAGGCCGACCTGGTGGGGATGGAGCGGGTGGGGCTGGGTCTGCCCGCTGTTTCTCCGTGAGGGGGCTTAGAGGTTCGTGGAGATCTAAGTATGCGGGCAGCTGGGGGGCAAGTGCCGAAGGCCCCTCGGCCCAGGGGCACACTCTGGTCATGAGGCCCAGGGCAGAGCAAGCAGGGAGGGGTGGAGCCATGGTGGGGAGTCAGGGAGTCTGACGGGGCAGGGGCAGGTCTCAGGTCTCAGGAAGGGCAGGTGTGGAGGCACTGGCCTGGGGCGAGAGCTGTTGTGGGGGGTGTAACTGGAAGACTGGCAGGGAGGGTGTGGTTTGGGAGCAGTTGATTGGGAACAAGGTGTGAGCGCACAGGTGGCTGACAGGACAGGCGAGGCGGGTCGTGGAGTGAGAGGTCAGGCGTGAGGTGGGAGATGGCTACCGTTCGGCTGCTGAAATGCTTGAAGCTGGGAATGAAGGGAGGCAAGTGGGGGACCCGCCGAAGGGGTGGCTTGGGGGCTGCTCGGGCAGGGCGGTGACCGGCGACTGGAGGTGCTCAAGCCCGTCGCCTGGACCTCAGCATGGACTGACGTCACTGGGGCACTGCACTTGCTCACTGCCTGAACACAGGCGGGAGGGGCTCCCCGGGGCCTGGCCGCCAGGAGCCCATCGGCTGGAGGGCAGGTGGACGGGCAGTGGTGCGCAGCAACACCTGGAGCTCATGGCTCCCACCAGCCTGCCCAGACAAGGGAGAGGCCGGCCCTGCATGCTGGATCCAGTCAGAGACACTGCTGACCTCAGAAGCCCAGAGAGAAGGGCAGGGCTGAGGCCCCGGCACTGTGGCGCAGGGGCAGGCTGCTGCGTGTGACGCTCCCGCCCACGTCGCAGCCCCAGTTCAAGTGCTGGCTGCACTGTTTCTGATCCAGTTCCCTGCTGAAACACTTGGGAGAGCAGCAGCAGATGGCCAAGTGTTTGGGCCCTTGCCATCACGTGGGACACCTGAATGGAGTTCCAGGCTCCTGGCTTTGGCCCCGCCCAGCCCTAGCTGTTACGCATGGTGGCCAGCTGGGGAGTGAGCCAGTGGAGGGCAGATACCGCCCCCGTCTCCTTCAAATAAGCAAATGCATCTTAAAAGACTCAAGCACAATAAAGAATTCATGTTTTAGCTCTTGGGGCTTAGAACCGCATCAGGGGCCAGCGTTGTGGTGCAGCGGGTTAAGCCACCACCTGCAATGCTGGCATCCCACATGGGCGCCGGGTCACATCCTGGCTGCTCCACTTCCAGTCCAGCTGCCTGCTGATGTCCTGGGAAAAGCAGAAGATGGCCCAAGTGTCTGGGGCCTTGTCACCCACATAGGGGACCCAGATGGAGTTCCTGGCTCCTGGTTTTGGCCTGGTCCTTGCCGGGTGGCCATCTGGGGAGTGAACCGGCATGTGGAAGACCTCTCTATCAAATACACAAATCTTTAAGCTCAGCCCCGCCCCACTCTGCCATGGGAGACAGCCCTGTGTGGCGTCAGACACGTCTGCCCTAGCTCTGCGGTGCCCACCCGCAGCCACACGGCAGGCACCCTCTTCTCACGCCCACTCCTCCCGGGGTGCCCTGTGGACCCAGTCCACGTGTCACCCTCGTCACGCTGAGCTGTGAGCGTGGCTCCCTGCAGGTGCAGGTGCTGCCCGGCCTGGAGCTCAGTGAGGGCTGGGAGGATGAGCGGTGGGTTCGGAAGGGGGAAACACGTCTGATGTCTCAAGGTGACGTGGGGCGGGGCTTCAGAAGGGGCCTCCCGAGGGCTGCAGGCCTCACTGTGACTCCGGAGTAAAAGTCGTGTTTCGGAAGTAGTGGGACAGCTTGCTTACCTCGTCCAGCACAGTCGTCTTTTTCTGAAATAAAGAGAGGCCTGAGTCGGTGTGCGGAGGGAGGTTCTGCCCCCTTCAACCCCTGGCCACGCCAGCAAGGGGCAGGCTCCCTCTGCACCCCGCGCCCCAGGGACTTCCACACCTCAGGGACCGCCCACGAAGCCGTGAGGACCGCAGGGACAGGAGGACCCCAAGCATCTGAGGGGCCGTTCCCAGGCTCCCTCTGCACCCTAGGGGATGTGTTTGCATTTTCAGAGTCCTTTTATTTTTTCAAAAAATTTTAAAGAATTACTTATTTATTTGAAAGGCAGAGTTACAGAGAGGCAGAGAGAGAGAGGTCTTCCATCTGCTGGTTCACTCCCCAGATGGCTGCAGTGGCCGGAGCTGGGCCAATCTGAAGCCAGGAGCCAGGAGCTTCCTCCGGGTCTCCCACTGCTTCCCAGGCCATAGCAGAGAGCTGGATTGGAAGTGGAGCATCTGGGACTTGAACCAGTGCCCATAGGGGGTGCCAGTAGTGCCTGCTGGCTTTACCCGCTACGCCACGGCACTGGCCCCAGGAGTGGAGATTTAGCTTAGCAGTTAAGATGCTGGGTAGGACACCAGTGCCCCACATGAGTGCCTGGGGACAGACTAAACCCAGCTTCACACCGAGGAACTAACTTGTACTCCCCAGTGGTTTTTCTCTTTCTTTTTAAGGATTTATTTTATGGGGCCTGGCGCTGTGGCATAGTGGGAGTGAACCAGCAGATGGAAGACCTCTCTCTCTCTCTCTCTCTCTCTGCCTCTAACTCTGCCTTTCAAATAAATCTAAATAAATGAAGTGGACTCTTTAAATTAGAACAGGAAGACTTGGTCCCGGGGCCGGTGCTGTTGTGCAGCAGGTTAAGCCTCCAGCCGTGCGTGGCACCGGCATCCCACAGGGGCACCAGTTCGAGCCCTGGCTGCTCCACTCCTGCCCCAGCTCCCTGCTATGGCCTGGGAAGGTGGTGGAGGATGACAAAGTACTTGGGCCCTGCAACCATGTGGGAGACCCAGAAGCTCCTGGCTCCGACGCGGCCATTTGGGGAGTGAATCCGCGGATGGAAGACCTCTCTCTCTCACTCTGCCTCTCAAATAAACATAAATCCACCTTAAAAAAAAAAAAAAAAGACTTGGTCCATGGCAGTCCAGAAGCCAGCAGTCCTTGACACCTGCCTGGGGAGAGAGGAGGGCGGCCCGGAGTGCCCCTGTGAGAAGCAGCGGGCTGACGTGGGCAGTGGCCGAGCTGCCCCGGTGCCGCCTCCCCTGGGAGCGCTGGCTCGGCCCTGGCGGCCGTGCTTCCCTCTGGCTCTCTGCTGTGCACTGGGGAGCAGTGGACGGGGACCAGTGCGTGGGTCCCTGGCTCCTACACGGGAGACCGAGGTAGAGTTCTGGGCTCCTGGCTGTGGCTGCTGCTGGCCTTCGGGGGGTGAGCCGGCAGACAGGTGACCGCTCTGCCCTTCCCTGTCTGTCACTTGCCTTTCAAATACACAAGTAAATAATCTGAAGAAAAAGCAGCAGCAGGACCGCTGGCGTCCTGTGTCTCAGGTGATGGGTGTTTCCCCTCCCCCCTGAGCTGAGAAATACAGGGGTGGAGGGGCAGCGGCAGGAGGGAGCGCGGCCAGGGCACGGGCTGCTCTCTTCCCACAGGAAACACCTCTGCAGACGGCACTGGCGGGTTCTTGGAAACCACGCCGTGGCGACGGTCGTGGGTGACAAGCCAGCTGCCACCGGGTCCTGGCACAACCTTTGACAAGTGGAGAAAGTGGACGTGAGGGGCCGCTGGGGGAGGGGAGGCCGTGCCGAATTCCAGGTGTGAAGTGGCGTGGTGGGAGGTGCTGGAGCTACACACCTAAGTGGTTCTGGAAAAATGATTTGGGGTGCTAAGGCTGCCTATGCACTGCTGAGCGAGGCGGGGCTGGGAGGCGGGGCGCTGCTGAATCCCAGTTCTGAAGGCGTCCCTGGTGGGACCTGGGGAGCAGCCCGCCGGCAGCCCGCCGCTGAGGTCCGCAGTGCTCGGGCGGGCTCCGGAACCTGGTTTCTGTTTGCACAATACCAGGGACTTGTAACACAGGAGAGATTTTAAAGTCTCAGCTCTTTTTAAATGTTGATTTGTTTTTCATCTACTTGGCAGAACAGAGAGCAAGCAAGCTAGAGAGAGGTCTTCCACCCACTGGTCCACTTCACACACGTCTGTCAGCTCGGATTGGGCCAGGCCAAAGCCAGGAGCCTGGAATGCCACTCCAGTCTCCCATGTGAGTGACGGGGATTCAAGAACGCGAGCCACTACCAGCTCCTCCCAGAGGAGCCAGGTCTCCGTCCAGGGCTCTGACACGGGATGTGCACGTCCCGCGCCCGTGCCTGGGTGGATGTCTTGTTAGAGCGTTGGGCTCACACGAGACCAGAGCCTCTTAGGGACTAGAACCTTAGTGGCACCCGGCCCCGCCCCACGTGTCCTGTCCTGCCGCCCCGGTCCGTGTGGCCACGGGGCACCCGGGGCTCCTCGGGGCACTCACCTGGTGCTTGTACAGTCTCCACTGGGTCTGCAGGACCCGGGCGGCGGCGTCTCTTCTCCTTTCCGTGCAGGGGGAGGGGGCCCGCGAGACGCCCTCCCCGCTGGCGCCTGCCTCGGGGTCGTGCGGGGAGAGCCTGCTGCTGGCAGGGGACGCTGGACGACCTTGGGCCTGCAGGAAATGAAAGGGCGTGAGGAAGATGGGATCGGGCGGGAGGCGGGTGCGGGCAAGGCACAGGATATTGTCTGGCCCGGAGCAGGTGCTGTCGGTCACCGTCACACCGTGCACCGAGGCAGACATCCGCAGGGCGCAGCGCCCACGGCGGGCAGGCTCGGACGTGCTTCCCTGGAGGCCTGACTCGGCGGCCGTGTCCGGGAGGACAAGTGCCGACCCCTGTGGTCCCCGAAGGTTTTCCACTGGGCGCCGCGCTTAGTCGCTTCCCATTGTCACAGGAGCCGTGTGCTGCTCCAGCACCGTGGGGTGAGAGTGGCATGTATGTCTGGGGTTACAGGCAAGGTGGCCCCAGCTCGGGTGAAGGGAGGAGGAGGCAGGAGTGGCTGTTGTGATGCCGACGTAACGCGTCTAACCCGCTCTCCACAGGACACTCCCCATGGGGCCTGGGACCCATGAGCCGTCCTTCCCACGCCACAGAGCACGAGCGTGGTGGGCTCAGACACTGCTGAAGCCGCTGGCCGTGGACAGACGTCCAGGGCATACCGGCCGGAGTCCACCACTCTGCTGCGGTGCTCCGCCCTCTGGACTTCACCGGTCCTGGAGACGCTGCTCAGGGCTGGGCTGTTCCGGCCGGCAGACGTGCCTCTGAGCAGGGCGTGCGTGCACAGCCCCCCGAGCACCTCCACTGTCATGCCAAGCCAAGGGTCCTCTGCCCTGCGCGGCCCGGAGCCCACCAGTGTCATTGCAACCAGCAGTCCTTGGCTTGCTCAGCGCTGCCCCACCTCGCCCTCCAGTGACGGCCCTGGGCCCTGCTGCCCTGCCTCACCCTCACAGTGGCGGCCCTGGGCCCTGCTGCCCCGCCTCACCCTCCAGTGAGGCCCTGGGCCCTGCTGCCTCCTGGCTCAGGGGCGCCTGCCTGTGGCCTTGCCTCCTGTCTGCAGGGTTCTGTGTGAACTTCCTACACGACAGGTCCTTCCTCGGCTGACGAGGATGGGCCCACTGCTGCCCCATCTCCCAGGGTGCTCGCCTGGGGCCTCTGTGCCCGCTTCAACACGAGCACCGCCTGCCAAGGAGAACTGATGGACCAGGCGCCTGCCTCAGCCCCGGCACATCTGGGCCTTCGCCCTGTAGGGGTGGCCTTGCCAGTGTGGTCAGAAGACAGGAACACACTCAGAGCCTGAATGTGGATGTCCCTTCAACTCTGAGGCAGCTGCTGGAACCCTGGCTCTCGTCCGCACCGACCCCTCCCCTCGTCAGCACTCGCTCCTCCTCTCCGCTGTTCTTTCTTTAAGCATAGAAGCTCTGGTCTGCACCGACCCCTCCCCTCGTCAGCACTCGCTCCTCCTCTCTGCTGTTCTTTCTCTAAGCACAGAAGGTGAAAGGGCTCGTTAGGGGAGATGCAGGTAACATGGAAGGGAAGTGCAGCGTGCTTACGCGGCGGGCGCCGTGGCACAGCGGGTACAGCTGCCGCCTGCAGTGCCGGCATCCCACAGGGGCTTCAGCTCGAGTCCTGGCTGTTCCTCTTTCAATCCAGCTCTCTGCTATGACCTGGGGAAGCAGTGGAGGATGCCCACGTCCTTGGGCCCCTGCACCCATGTGGAGACCTGGAGGAAGCTCCTGGCTCCGGATTGGCACAGCTCTGGCCGTTGTGACCATCTGGGGAGTCAACCGGTGGATGGAAGACCTCTGTCTCTGCCTTTCAAATAAATAAATAATTCCTTAAAGAAGAAAGGTGCTCATAATCCTGCCATAGGCCGGCGCCGCGGCTCACTAGGCTAATCCTCCACCTGCGGCGCTGGCACCCCGGGTTCTAGTCCCGGTCGGGGCGCTGGATTCTGTCCCGGTTGCCCCTCTTCCAGGCCAGCTCTCTGCTGTGGCCCGGGAGTGCAGTGGACGATGGCCCATGTGCTTGGGCCCTGCACCCCATGGGAGACCAGGAGAAGCACCTGGCTCCTGCCTTCGGATCAGCGCGGTGCGCCAGCCGCAGCAGCCATTGGGGGGTGAACCAACGGCAATGGAAGACCTCTCTAACTCTGCCTGTCAGAAAAAAAAAAAAAAATCCCACCACACGAGAAAGCTGTTTTGTCAGTGCTCCGAGATGTTTTTCTTGTTTTTCTTTGCGCGCGAGGACCAAAGCTACATCCTTGCGCGCGTGTGTGCAGGGGGAACCCTCTCCCCCAGCAGCTCTCTTGCGCGGCACCCGCTTCAGCCACAGCCCAGTTCCGGGCTCTGCCGCCGCGTGAGGCAGCCAGCACGGATGCCTCCTGTGGGTCGGGACCCTGTTTGTTCCTGCTGTGGAGACCCGTCTTCAGGCTGGGCAGTAGGTGCTGGCGCAGGAGACACAGCGTGATCCTGACCACGCGGTCTCTAAGTCCTCGCTCAGCAGACGCGGTGCTGCAGGCGTCTCTGCCGGCACGGCCGGTCGGCCTTGAACCGAGGAGGATTCCAGCTCCACAGCAGTGACGTTCATTGAGGAAAAACAAGTGACAAACCCTGCAGCCAAAATCCTCAGGGAGACACGCAACCCAGCAGCAGGGGAGGCGCCCCCTGCTGGCTGACCCGAGTCGGGGCGCACCGAGAGGGAATGCCACCGGCACCATTGTCCTGAGAGCTGCACAGGACCAACTCGCTTTCCTTTTGGGCATCAGAGACCAGCATGATCACAGCAGGTCAGCGCCATGAACAACGTCTGGGAAACACGCTTTCTCCCCGAGGGCCGCCGCCGGGCATGATGTCCTGAAGAGGAGCAAACACCTGCCTGGTACTCCGGGGGCGCCATCGGCCAGCATGCCTCAGTGAGACACCTGCGGGGTCGCAGCCATCGGCCCACGGTGAGCACGGGGTCTCGTGACACATGGTGGTGGCATGGACAGCGGATAATCCCCTGGCGTTGGGATCGAGACTCACATACACCGTGAGCCCCCGCCGGCCCGGTGTGCCACATTCGTTACCGTGCAGCCTGCGAAGGACCCCGGCACACAGCGCGGGAACTGGGCTGGGTGTTGTGTCCCCCTAATGGCGGTGCTGTGGTTTGCCTCGCTCTGTGATGAAGCCTGTGCCGGCAGCTTCCCACATCTCCAGCTCCGAGGTTTCTGTGTGGCCTGTGCCAGGTGCACCACACGGAAGCTGCGCGTGCCAAAGTCAGAGGCCTGACGATGAGGACCCCTGCCCTCCCGGGCGCCACAGCCCATCTCGGGCGAGACCGCTGCCCCCCACGTCCGTGTCTCCTCCCACGGGCAGGGCTTGTGGCTCTCAGTGTGGCCAGGCGGAGGTCCCTGGCACCCAGTGGACTCCTAGCTATGCCTCAACTCTTGAGCAAGAGGGAAGAGGGTCAGGGAGAGGGGCAGCAGGGGCTGGGGACCTTCACAGCCAGAGCTGGGCCTCAGCCACGCTGCCTCCTGTGGCGTCCAGGTCCTCACCAGACACGGAACTTGACGTGGAGAACGCTCACCCAGGTCAGGTGCTGGAGGCCCCAGACGGCCCACTCCTCCCCGGGGCTCGGCGGACAGCCCCCGCCCCAGTTCTGGGAAGGTCGTCACGCACCCGCTCAGCGCTCTGACTGGGATACCAGGTCAAGAGGCCAGTAGCTGACAGTACGTTAGTGCAGAGCCCAGACTTCCGCGTGCATGACTTCAGTTGCGGAAGGGTCAGCGTCAGGGTCAGGAGGGGGCTGGGTACAGAAAGAACCGGAAGTGCCCCGCCCCTGCCTGGACAGGAGAGCAGACATACTCACACGCACCTCTAGACTGGCTTCCACAGGGTCACTTCTCTCTCCTTTCGCGGTCTCCTCCAGTTCTTGGAGCTTGGTGGTCAGTGTCTGAATCTCCTCTCTGGGGGAGGAGAAGGTGACGCCTTACTTGCCAGTGCGCGGCCTGGCTGCTGAGACACGCGCCTGCCTTCTAACTCGAGGCTCCGCGCGAGATCAGTCACGTTCTGTCGCGTCATCCTGGTGACCACGTCTGACTGGTCACTCTGAGTGCCTGTGTAACTCAGCTTTTTTTTTTTTTTTTTTTTTTTTTGGATTTTGATTTTGATTTTAAAGGCAGAGGAGCAGAGAGACAGGCAGAGACCTCCCACCTCCCCAAATGCCTGCAACAGCCAAGCCTGGGCCGGGCTGAAACCAGGGCCTGGAATGTCATCTGAGTCTCCCAGGGGACTGGCAGGGACCAGGCGTTTGAGCCGTGACCTGCTGCCTCCCGGGGAGTGCGTCAGAAGGAAGCAGAGCTGGGACCGGCCCCACGTGCTCTGAGACAGGATGACGGCACCGAGCGGCGCCCCTGCAGTCGCGCCAAGCCGCCCGAGCTTGGACTGCCGGTTCTTCACGGGGGAAGAAGCCAAATGAGGCGGAATTCCAAACAAAGGTCACGTTTCCCGTGTCTGCGCCTCTGCACGAGGAGGCCTCGGCCTGGGGACCCTGTCACTGGCCCGTGGCCTTTGGGGTCGGGAACAGCGCTGCCCTGGAGGAGCCCCCACCCGCACAGCACATCGGGCATGCTGGAGGGGTGAAGCGGGGCGCTTTGCCCAGAGACCCCTGGGAGGCCTGAGGATGCCGCGGGGGCCTGGGGGGCTCCTACCTCCAGGCCTGCTCCTGCTCGCGACGCTGCCTCTCGCCTTCCCTGGCGCTCTCCAGCTGCGTCTCCAGGTCGGCCTTGGCCTGCAGCAGCTGCCGCAGCTCCACGCTGAGGGCACAGAGCAGAGCCGCGCTCAGCAGAGCTGGATGGGTCGGGGGGCGCCCCTCACGCCCTCGGACGGAGGGCCCAGGATAAAGGCCCTCCCTTCTAAAGACCTGGAGCCAGCGGGGTTTGGAAACTCCGCCTGGAACTCAGGGTCCCACGCGGAGGTGAGGACGCCTCCCCACACAGCCGGGGGCGTGCGCTGCTGTCGGGGACAGGAGGGCTGCTGGCCGCCTCGGGCTGAGCTGTCCCAGCAGGCTTCCAGGTGTCCCCGCGTGGCACGGGGCGTGACCTCGCTCCAGGCCTCACTCCGTCACACGGCAGGGCCCACGGATGGCCTCCTATGCCACGTGATGGCTGAATGGGTAATTCCAGAAGTTGTTGACCTTTCAAAACGAGTACCTCAGTTTTAACACTTGCTATGAAACACTGATTTTTACGAAGCATTTATCAGAAATCCACGGTGCGACTGTGGAGGGGAGGAGCTGCCTTCCGCAGAGCTCAGTGGGGCCCAGGTGCCCAGAGAAGGCAGGGCGGGGCTCCACGGCTCCTGGCTTTGCCGGCTGTGGCCACTGCCGTGCGAGGGGCAAGGTCATCTCCGGGGACAGCTGGGCTTAGTTCACCGGGCCAGGAGCCGCGCTGGGTCTGGTGCAGCTACAGGCCACCAGAGTGCACAGGCGCTTTCGCCTTGCCCGCTGAGGGCCTCACAGGTCACGAACTGGACCGTGTCTCCCTCCGAGGGCCGCGTGTACACGCCTGGCTGCGGCCTGCGCGGGAGAGCCCTCTGCGGTTCTGGGGAGGCCCGGTGCCCTCCCGGCCCTGCACCCCGCTGCAGAGCACGCCTCGTCCCGCGGTCACGGCTGGGCCCGGGCACCTACTCTTTCTCCAGCAGCTGCGCCTGCAGTGTGCCCCGCTCCCCCTTCAGGCTCTTCACGGCCCCCCGCAGGCGCGCGAGGTCCTCCTGGCAGTCGGCCGGCGGCTGTCTGTGCACTGGGGACGTGGACGCCGAGGGGGCCCGGGGGGTCGGTTTGCCCACGTCTGCAGCATGAGCCTTTGAGCTCTCCATTGAATTTATCTTCTGGAGGTGACACAGGTATCTGTTAGGTGCCACTCATTGTGCTTCCGCCACCCAGAAGAGCGCCAGGGGCCTGAGAAGCCGGTCTCCCGCAGGGCACGGGGGCCCTGCCCTGGGCCCGAGCCAGCTCTGCTTGGGAGTGGGGCACAGGCCCAGCCGAGGCAGGGTGCAGGCGGCAGGGCCCCGGACACGACCCAGGGAGCAGTGGAAGGCGTGAGCTCACAGACTGCTTCCCTCTGTGCCCGCGACTCCCAGATCTCGTGCAGCCGCCACCTGCGGTCCGTGTGCACGCTCGCTCTGTGGCCAGCCACCCAGCCTGCCCCAGACGCCCGTGCTGCCTGCGCCGCCTGCGGCCTTGGCTCACCTTCTCCAGCTCCGCGATGCGTCTCAGCAGCCTGGGCTTGCTCCACTCCACGTAACCTGAGGGAAGGGAAAGGCATTCAGAAGGACGATCCCGACGTCCTGATGGCCCTGCGGCACAGACCACTTTCTCCAGCCAGGCCTTCGGCCCCGCTCAGGGCCCAAGCAGCCTGTGAGCTGTGCGAGGCCACGAGACCCACGGCGGGCAGCATCTTCAGGACTGGACGGTCTCTGCTCCCTGGGACCTAGGGCTGCAAGTGTCCTGGTGCGCCAGGCCGCCTTCAACCTCCCGTCACTACGCTGACTTCCCCTTTGCCAGACCCACAGCCCATCCTCCGGCTCCACCTCCCCCGGCTGCAGGCGCACCTGCCGGCCTCCCCCCTCCGCTGCGTTCCAGGCTGCCCCTCTCGGCTCACCCTCACCTGTGTACGTCCGCCCTGGGCCTCCGCTATCCTGGTTCCCGGGGGCAACCTCACTTGGTGCCATCTGTTCGCAGATGACCCGCACGCACGTCAGCTCACCACACACCCTGTGCCTCATCTGCCCCTCCCCACCTCCGGAAAGGGCAGCCGTGCCCTGAGCGGCTCAAAGCCCTGAGAACCCGACTCTCGTCCTCTCGCGGGCTGGGCCCCCGTGTTTCTGGAAGTTTTGCTCACAAGGTGCACCCGGGACCGGCCACTGACACCTGACCACACGAGTGCAGGGGCCCCTTTTCCCCGGGCACAGAAGCCAGGGGGTCCTTGGCAAATGGGGGAGACCCTGAGACCCTCAGTCTTCTGCTCTACACAGCCCCCACCCAGCAACTGTCTCATTGCCCGCCACTGTACCGCGGCTAGGCTGGGCACCCACAGACCCCCGTGGCCGGCACACACACGGGCACGCGGGCCTTTTCTGGGCCGCCAGCCCAGCCTGCCCCCAGCTGTGTGACCGGTGGCCTTCACCTCATCCCGGCTGGGCCCCACCCCAGGCTCGCTGTCCCCTGAGGCCTCTTTCCCTGCTGTACACTGGACAGGCCGCACCCTCCCCCCCGGGCCGATACCCTTTACGTTGTCGATGGTGGGCGAGCTGCTCAGCACGCGGTCCAGGTCCTCCTTGAGGCTCTGGTTCTCCTCCGTGAGCTCCTGCACGCTCCGCGACAAGCTGAGGAGGGTGCTGCTCATTTTCTTCTGCCGCTTAACGCCGGCCTTCCTGTCCCCCGCAGGCCTGGGGAGCAGACGCAGACAGGCTCAGCGGGAGCAGGCGCCATGCCTGTCTCTGCTCAGGACGCCCGCGGACTTGGCAGCTGATTCCCAGATGACCCAGCAGTGAGCGCCTGACGGGCAGCCCGCGGCGCTGTGCAGCAGGCAGGTGCTCGGGTCCATGGGCTGACTGTCCCACTTGGTGGCAGGGGCTGAGATACTGGCTGTGGCCTCGTTCAGCTCCTCAGTGTCTGCACGCTGCACCTGCGTGGATCTGGCTGTCAGCCGGTGATGGCCCTCAGTGCCACGCGTGGGGCCGCGTGCTGTGGCGCAGCAGCTGCTGCCCGGGACCCACATCCTGGACTGAGTGCGGCTTCTGGTCCCGCTTCCACTGACGTGCCCACAGGGGCTTGGGCGTCTTCCCCCCACGTGGAGTTGCCAGCTCCTGGCTTCGGCCTGGCCCAGCCTTGGCTGTCGTGGGCATTTGGGGAGTGAACTAGCAGTTGGAGCATCTCTCTCTCTGTGACTCTTGCCTTTCAAGTAGATAAAAATATGTTCAAAAACCATGTCAAATACCACTTGGGGCTTTTGTGGGCATGCATACGTGCGTGCAGTGGTGAGACAGATGTCCCGGCTCAGGCTGAGCCAGGCCCTCTCTGGCCTCCTGAGTGTACATGTTCTCCTCTCTGTTGGTCACGTCTGGTTGTTGTTGTTGTTGTTGTTTTTTTTTTTTTTTTTTTTTTTTTTTTTTTTTATTATTATTTATTTGAGAGGTAGAGTTACAGACAGTGAGAGGGAGAGACAGGGAGAGGTCTTCCTTCCGCTGGTTCACCCCCCAGATGGCTGCAATGGCCGGAGCTGCGCTGATCCGAAGCCAGGAGCCAGGAGTTTCTTCTGGTTTCCCATGGGGTGCAGGGCCCCAGCACTTGGGCCATCCTCCACTGCTTTCCCGGGCCACAGCAGAGAGCTGGACTGGGAGTGGAGCAGCTGGGTCTCTAACCGGCACCCATATGGGATGCTGGCGCCGCAGGCGGAGGATTAACCTATTGTGCCACGGCGCCAGCCCCAGTCCCGTCTGTTCCTAACAGTGCTCAGGTGCTGCCTGGTGCCCCAGCAAACAGGCTGACTGGCAGGGACGCAGCATGCCCGGGAAGGAGCCCTGGCCGTGACTCCCTGTCAGTGAGTCAGCACTGCATGTTCAGTGGGGCGTCTCAGCACAAACATGGAAACCAGGACAGGCCACTGAAGGCGGATGCAGCTCACAGGAGCCCACGCCTGCATTTCCTGAGGGCAGGGGTGTGGGCCTCGCAGACCCAGCGGGCACCCAGCCCTGCTTCCCAACCCATCTTAACGCCACTCGGGGCCAAGCAGAGGGGCTGGCCAGGCTGGGCCATGGGGACTTCAGCGGTCGGCAGCAGGGAGCCCACCCAGGGAGCAGCTTCCACGAGACGGCAGAGCCCCTGCATCTCTCAGAAACTCCTCTGGAATGAGCTCGTGCGAGGGCCCAGGGCCTGCCCAGGAGGCGCACCACCTTGACAGCAGGGACTTCCAGGCCCGCGCTGCGCTGCTAGGCAGCCTGTGTCACTGGCACCTCTCCCACCCCCAGGATGGAAGCCCGCCACGCCGGCCACGGCCACGGCGGCAGCGGCCACTAATGAGACAACACGAGAAACCCGGCCTCCGGCGCGACCGTACTTCTTTCCGGTGGACTCGGAACTCGCCAGCAGGGTCTGCAGACGGCGGATCTGTGAAGACAAGATGAGATGCGTGAGAACAGAGGGGCACGGAGACGTCCTCCTGCCCAGCTGTGTCTCGTTTCCCATCGGTGGCCCTGCCTCCCACACACCTCCTCGTAGTAGGTCTCCATGGCGATCCGCATCTCTTCCAGGTTGGTGGTCTTCATGTCTGTCTGCAGCTTGCTGAAAGCCCAAGTTCCCAGTCAGCATGGTGGGGCACGTGAAGGTTCCCCTGAACACCAGGACCCGAGCAGGCCTCCGGGGGCTCGTGGCCCTGGGCAGAAGCCTCCATTTGAGAGACAGCTGCTCACGACAGAAATGTCTCCTGTGTGGCACTAGCCACGCCTCATGGCAAAGGCATCCCTCAGGACCAGCCTCTCCAGAGAAGCTGCTGTCTTTGTCGCTGGGGAAAGGTGGAGAGGCCCGCGTTCAGGGAGGACGCCGCCTGGGGGTTGTGCCGGCCACACTGCCCTCGCCCTCAGCAGCCCGCGGGCCTTAGAGGGGAGCGCAGGGTGCAGCACTGAGGCACAGAACCAGCTGTGTAAGCCGACAAACCTCAGCACGGGGCAGTGAGGACAGGACACACAGGGCCCTTAAATACACACAGCCAGCAGAGACTGTGCCCCCACGCCGAAGACAGAGAACTGTGTGTAGCCGCCCCGCAGCAGCACGGAGCCTGCTCCACCTGCCTGTCATGGGACGGGACAGCGGCCCCACAACACGGAGGGGGTGCAGCAAGGTGCCACTCCCCGATCCCATCTGCCGGGAGCACAAGCAGCCGGCATTCGGGTGGAGGTGGGGATGAAAGCCCCAGGGCCCCCAGGAAACGAAGACTAGGACAGCGAGGGTGCCCCAGCTGCACCCCGCCGCAGGCCCAGCCCTGACCCCCTGCCCCGCCCCCTGCCCCGCCCCCAGCCCCGCCCCGTACTTGATGGTGGTGTCCTTCTCCTTGCACTGCCGCTCCAGCTTGAAGATCCTCTGCCTCAGCCCGTTCATGACCTGTAAGAGACGCCGGCACTGCAGCTCCGGCCTCCAGGGGCCCCGGCCTGCCCGCTCCCTCCCTCCTGGTGCACGTCCACGTCCACACTGACCTCCTCTAGACTCTGCCAGGAGAGGCCGCCGCGGCCACCAGCGGCAGTGGGGACGCCACCGTCACAGATGCAGGCGCTGACTGAGCCAGCCCGTGGCCGCTGGGCCCAGAGGGGCAGGGGCGCGGCACCCAGGGTCTGGGAGGCCGTGCCTTGTCCTCCCCTTTCGAATAAGCAACTACTTTTTAAAAAGATTGATTTATTTACTTGAAAGGCAGAGTTACAGAGAGGCAGAAGCAGAGAGAGAGAGAGGGGGGTCTTCCATCCACTGGTTCACTCGCGAAGAGCCTTAATGGCCAGAGCGGTGCCGACCCGCAGCCAGGAGCCAGGAGCCAGGCCTCCTCCTGGTCTCCATGCAGGCGCAGGGGCCCAAGGACCCGGGCCATCCTCCACTGCCCTCCCAGGAAGCAGAGCAGCCAGAACTCGAACTGGCGCCCACAGGGGATGCTGGCGTTCCAAGTGGCAGCTTTACCCACTGTGTCACAGTGCTGACCCCAGTAAACAACTTACTTGGTTTTTTAAAGTAATTTAAAATTACATTAGTAGTAAACGAATGCATTTTCTTTCTAAAAATTTTTTATTAGCTTGAAAGGCAGAACAGGCTGGGGGAAGACATCTTCTGTCCGCTGGTTCACTCCCCTACTGCCAGCAACGGCCGGGGCTGGTCCAGGCAGAAGCCAGGAGCCCGGGGCTGGAGCCGGGTTCTGCCAGGGGGCGCTGTCGTCACCAGCAGCCCTGAGAGCCCGTTTCCTGTGCTGGGTGAAGCTGAGGACTGACCCGGCCACTTACTTCCTCCTCCCCCTACTGTGCCTTGGTGCACCCGCAGAGCAGGGCAGTCAGGCCTTCCGTCCTCCGGAGCCCTCAGAAAACCCTGGGAAAGGGGAATCCAAAGGGAAGCTTATGTTGAGGAAAAAAATGTTTTTAAATTCACTCAAGTGTTTCCTAATAGGCATCTTTCACAACTTTTGATGATTTCAAGTTCTCTTGCAGCCAAGTAAACTTCTTCGTGACGTCGCTTCTCCCCAGCGATGCGGCCCAGCGCTCGGGCAGGGCAGGCGGGCGCGCGGTGGGCCGGAGCCCCCCTCGGGCTGCCTCCTGTTCCGCGTCGTGGGCCCCGCCCGCGGCCAGTTTCGCCCTGGTCACGTCTGTGGGCGCCTCTCGGAGCAGCCCTCCTCCCTCTCTTGCAGCTGCGCAGGCGTGTGGCAGAGGAAGGCTGTGCGTCTTCCAGGGCGCTGCCTCCTTGCCGTCCCCCCCCCTCAGCGCTACAAGGCGGTGGTTCCGGCTGGCGGTCCTGTCACAGAGCCCAGGGGCCGTGCACGCGCCGGCTGCCCGTCCACGCCGCGAGGCTGCGGGTTCAGTCCTGACCGCTGTGCGCTGTAATCAGCTCCTCAAGAGAAATCCTTGGCCGCGCGCAAGTGTTTCCCGAGTGGCTGCCGGCCGCCCTGCAGGCCCATATGGCCGCGGACGCTCAGGTGCACAGTGCACCCGCCCAGCGCTGCGCTCGCGGCGGACAGAAACCCAGCTCTTCACAGGACGAGAGGTTCACGGCGCCCTTCATGCGGCTCCCCAGGTCGGCGTTTCATACAAGTCCGCGCGCTGGTTTTCTCTTTTAGTATCTGTTTTACAAATGTTTTGCGATAGCAATTCCACTCTGCAGTTTTCCCTCAAATTGGGCAGAGAGACGTATCCTTGTGCAAGTGGCCTTGTGCGAGACTCCTTTCCTGAGAGAGTCCCAAAAAGAAGTCTGACCTGGGCACTGGGCAGTTTGACAGCCCTCCGCTCTGGCCTGGCCGTCCCACCACGCCACGCCACGCCACGCCACGCCAAGTCTAAGGTTTGGGCACCCCTGCTTCTCCTCAGTCCTGCCGTACTGCTTTTATTTTATTTTTAAATACCTACTTACTCATCTGAAAGTCAGGGGGACAGAGAGGGGAAGAGAGAAGAGGGCGGTCTTCCACCTGCTGCTTCACTCCCCAGATGGCCACGGTGGCCAGGACTGGCCAGGCCGAAGCTGGGAGCAGGAACTCCACCTGGTGTCCCACATGGCTGGCAGGGGCCCAGGCAGTTACGCCGTGTTCCACTGTCTTCCCGGACCACTAGCAGGGAGCTGGATCAGAAGTGGAGCAGCCAGGACTCGAACCAGTGCCCATGTGGGCTGCTGGGGTCCAGGTGTGGCTTCACCCACTGCCCACAGCGCTGGGCCACTACTGCTTGTGACCTGGGCGAACTGTGCTGCTCTCAGGTGTCCTTGCTGCCGCTGGGACGACGGCACCGAGACCCTGTCCCTGTCTCCCCACCACTCGGATGAACCGGTCTGGCAGATCTTTTGACCTATTTCCTGGTTTTAGAAACAAGACTGAAATCTCTATTCCAAAAACTCCAGGGAGATCACCTGTGTGATAATCCCAGCACTGCACTGTTCCAGGAAGACGCTGTGATGTGGGGACACTGGCCGCTTCCAGGCGCAGTCAAGGAGACCGGCCCATCCTCGGCACAGCGCCAGGCGGTCTTCGCTCATATGGAAGTGGTGGTGGTGTGTCCCAGAGCGGCTGCCGCCTTCAGGGGCTCGCAGGGCCTGTCTGGCTGTCGTGTGTGTGTTCTGGACAGAAGCACTGCTGACCTGGTCGGCGGCTCCTTCCCCTTGCTCATCCCAGCTGACCCAGCGTGTGTAACCGAATCCGCGGATCCGCTGGTCCCGCCACTGTTACCGTGTTCTTTGTGTTCAGTACTCTGAAAAGCGACTCCCTCTTGGCGCCTCCTGACTCGCCGGCAGGCAGTGCCGGCCCGAGGTGCCCGCGTCTCCGTGTCTGTGCCCGGCGCTCCACACCAGAGGCGTCCCTGCACTGCTGCTGTGTGGCTGTGTTGTACCCAGCATGGCGTGCCAAGCACAGCAGTGCATTTTTTGGGCATGATTAGGGAAGGTCGTTGTGACTTTTTCTCCATAACACAGGAGGGTTCTTGAAAAAGATAGTGGAAAATGGAATTAAAAGATGCTTATTTTGGTCCAAAAAACGTTTGAAATTCATGCAGAAGGGTGTTCACCAAGTTCACGGAAAACGTACATTATGAAAAAACTATCACGAGCTTCAGAATCATCTTGTACCAGCACAACTTCATCATGAATTCCACTTCCACACCAACTTTTGGAGCCCTCTGCTTCTTGGCCTCTGGTGAGCCTGCAACCCCCTCGTGCCCCCGACAGTGTCTGGAGCGCCGTCTTGCACCCCCACGCGCTGTGCAGAATGCTTCTAGACGGCCCGACCCCCGCATCTCCGCCCGGCGCCCCGTGCCCCGGAGACCACTCACCCAGCCAGCGTCGGGCCTTTTCTCCGCCAGAGTCCGAGCAACATCGGGGCCCTGTGGTGAAGCAGACGCGACATGAAGGCGGTGGGCGGCGGCCCCACGGGCGAGCCTGCCGCCAGGGCCCGGCACTCACTCGGCCTGGCTCCAGGAGCTGCTCGATCTGCCGGTCCTTCCTGCTGTTCTCCTCCTGTAAGCGCCGCAGCTTCGTCCGCATCAGGTCCACGGCGCTCTTCTGCACGTGCAGTGACTGAAGACGAGAGGGGCCACGCCCATGCACGGCGGGCACGCACACCCGGTGAAACAGGGGGACGGCGGGCGCGTGCCACAGCCGCCTGCTCCCCCGCACTGGGCAGGGTGGGAGCGGAGCTCTGCCACGGGCCAGGCCCCTGCGGCCCCGGAGCAGCACCGTCACCCCCAGGCACCAGCAGGGGAGACACGTCACGCGTTCTTGGCCACGTCCACGTGAGGAGCGCGTCACTCCCGCTCACCAAAGGCTAATGCCGTGACTGTTTCTCAGCCGCGGCTCAGAGAGCCGTGCTGCCCCACGTTGGCCTGTGACGAGTCTGACCCCGCTGGGGTGGCCTGGGAGCGAAGCCCACAGTGGTCAGTCTTCCCCGGAACTAAGTTTACTCAGTTTCTGCAGCTGGCCTGCACTTGGCAGTGACACCCTCCCTACCGCCTGGGGCTTCCCTGGTCCTTCAGGAGGGCATGGAGGTCCCTCTCGTTCTCCTTGTTCCACTCCTCACTGAGACAGGGTCGAGAGCTCAGAGAGCCAAGGCCGAGCTGCACACAGCAGCCAGGGATCCCTGTGGGCAGCGTCTCCCTTCCAGGGCTGTGGCCCTCCGAGGAGGCCAAATGACCCAGCAGAACCAGTCGCCTAAGTGCACGTCCCAGGAAGGGCCGGGGGGCCCAGGGCAGCACGACAGATGGTGGCGCTCCACGCCTGGCTGTGGACTGAATCTGCTAACCCACAGCCCGGAGAAAGCTAAAAAGTCTAACAAGGGGTCTGCTTCCAGGAGGAGGAGCCTCCCTTCCCCTCTTGCCCAGCTGAGATCCTCGGGCACCACAGGCGGCCACCCAAGGTGACCCTGCTGGAGAAGGGGACCTGGGGGCCACAAGGCAGGGAGCTCTTCCAGCCGTCTCTGGGCCTGGTCGGGACGGGGTGCCACAGGGCACAGCCGGCTCACGTCCCCCACGGCCTCTTTCCTCTGCCTGGCACCGAAAAGGGGCAGGCTGACAAGGCAGAAAGTGTCCACTCCAGTAAAACCACAGGGACACTGGTCCCATGGACCGGGAGAGGCTGAGCGCGGAGCCACGAGCCCTGCAGGCAGTACCGAGGTGCCCCAGAGGCCACTGGAGGCAGGACTTGTACGCCCCAGTGGTGACAAGGCTGTGCGGACAGCAGCCTGAGCGGCTGTCTGCCTGGCAGGAATGAGGAGCCCCTCCCCGTGGGGGTGTCCACAAAAGCGCAATGGGGAACCCGACTTCCACCCCGCCCCTTGGTGGGAGCGAGGGGGCGCCCCTCACCCACCGGAGCTACCAGGTCAGAAGACTGAAGGGGCTGGAGTGTGATGACTGGCGCTCGCCATCCCAGCCAGCCAGAACCAGGGACTCTCGGCCTCAGTGGGCACTGGAGCAAGATGGCAGACGCCAGGCTCACCCGACAAAGACTGGATTTTTAAAAATTGATCTTTAAAAAAGAGGGCGAGAAGGAGAGAGGCATCCCATGTGCCGGTCACTCTGAGCACCCACGACAGCTAGCTCTGGGTCAGGTGCCCAGTCTGGGTCTGCCACGGGGGGGCAGGGCCCAGCTCCCCGCGGCTTCTCCAGAGCCTCCCAGGTGTGCGTCAGCAGGAGCCTGGAATCAGGAGCAGTGCGGGGCGTGGGGCGCGTTTCAGTGCGGTCCAGGCGCCCGCCCCAGTGCACAGCCCAGACAGATGCCTGCATGGCTGGTTCTGGTTAGGAACACACTGAAGCCAACAGAAGGCCAGAAAGTCTCAGCACAGCACCAAAGTACAAAGAAGCAAGTGAAGTCACAGAACTGAAATCCGGCAGACTGGAGAGGCCAGGGGCAAGAAGCAGTGGCCTCTAAGACAGAGACGGACCCCCAGCCAGCACGGGAGGGACAGGCAGGAAGTCTCGGGCCTGGGCAGCCATCACAGGAGACAGTGCGCTCAGACTATGTGCAGAAGTGATGACCGACAGGTTCCCGGTGGTGACTGAAGACAAACCTACGGGGAGGGCAGGAGGGGTGGAGACAGCTGAGTGGTAGGGACAGGGGAGGACGGGGCGGTGGAGACAGGGCTGGGCAGCAGGGAGGTGGTCCCTTGGGGAGGAAGGGGGCGGTGGAGCCAGGGCTGGGCAGCAGGGAGGTGGTCCCTTGGGGAGGAAGGGGTGGTGGAGCCAGGGCGGGGCAGCAGGGAGGTGGTCCCTTGGGGAGGAAGAGGGCGGTGGAGACAGGGCTGGGCAGCAGGGAGGTGGTCCCTTGGGGAGGAAGGGGGCGGTGGAGACAGGGCTGGGCAGCAGGGAGGTGGTCCCTTGGGGAGGAAGGGGTGGTGGAGACAGGGCTGGGCAGCAGGGAGGTGGTCCATTGGGGAGGAAGAGGTGGTGGAGACAGGGCGGGGCAGCAGGGAGGTGGTCCCTTGGGGAGGAATGGGGGGTGGTGGAACAGGGCTGGGCAGCAGGGAGGTGGTCCCTTGGGGAGGACGGGGGCGGTGGAACAGGGCTGGACAGCGGGGAGGTGGTCCCTTGGGGAGGACGGGGGGTGGAGACAGGGCTGGGCAGCAGGGAGGTGGTCCCTTGGAGAGGAATGGGGGCCGGTGGAACAGGGCTGGGCAGCAGGGAGGTGGTCCCTTGGGGAGGAATGGGGGGCGGTGGAACAGGGCTGGGCAGCAGGGAGGTGGTCCCTTGGGGAGGAATGGGGGGCGGTGGAACAGGGCTGGGCAGCAGGGAGGTGGTCCCTTGGGGAGGAAGGGGTGGTGGAGCCAGGGCGGGGCAGCAGGGAGGTGGTCCCTTGGGGAGGAAGAGGGCGGTGGAGACAGGGCTGGGCAGCAGGGAGGTGGTCCCTTGGGGAGGAAGGGGGGTGGAGACAGGGCTGGGCAGCAGGGAGGTGGTCCCTTGGGGAGGAAGGGACGGTGGAGACAGGGCTGGGCAGCAGGGAGGTGGTCCCTTGGGGAGGAAGGGACGGTGGAGACAGGGCTGGGCAGCAGGGAGGTGGTCCCTTGGGGAGGAAGGGGGCGGTGGAGACAGGGCTGGGCAGCAGGGAGGTGGTCCCTTGGGGAGGAAGGGGGGTGGAGACAGGGCTGGGCAGCAGGGAGGTGGTCCCTTGGGGAGGAAGGGGCGGTGGGAGGTGGTCCCTTGGGGAGGGATTCTGAAGATGAGGGGGAGAGGGCGTCTGGAGGACGCCAGAGTGTCCTCTAACAGAGAAGAGGCGATGAGAGGGGTCTTGGAGTAGCAGGAGGGAAGGGAGGGAGGATGGGAAAGTGAAGATGCGGGCCACTAGAACGCTCCCTCCTTCTCTGAGTTTCTTACATTACCTTTCACAGCTAACGCAAAACAGTAAAACAGATGTGGTTTTCTGTGTACACAGAGGAAGAATTTTAAAGATTGTCCATGGGCCGGCGCTGTGGCGTAGCGGGTAAAGCCGCCGCCTCCTGTGCCAGCATCCCTTATAGAAGCCAGTTTGAGTCCCAGCTGCTCCACTTTCGATCCAGCTCTCTGCTACAGCCTGGGAAAGCAGTGGAAGATGGCCCAAGTGCTTGGACTCCGGCTGGAAGACCTGGAAGAAGCTCCTGGCTTCAGATGGGCCCAGCTCTGGCTGTTGCAGCCATCTGGGGAGTGAACCAGCGGATGGAAGGTCTCTCTGCTCAGCTCTGCCTCTCTCTAACTCTGCCTTCCAAATAAATAATCTTTTTAAAAAATTGTTTACAAATGGCACAAGGTAAAGGGATGTAAGGAGAGGTAAGGTTTCTGTTCCTCACTCAAACTGACCACGGTAAGTGGTAAACACAGAGACTTTAAATGGCTCATGTGAGGTGCATAGAAGGAAGAAAACTATGCTTGGAACGCCAACATTTTTCCACCAAAATAAGCACATCTTTTAATCTGGCTTTCCACAGACTTAAAAAAAATTATTTATTTGAAAGAGAGACAGAGGAGAGGGAAAGAGAGAGAGAGAGAGAGAATCTTCCATCTGCTGGTTCAGTCCCCAGATGGCCACACTGACCAGGGCTGAACCAGGCTGAAGCCAAGAGCCAGGAGCTTCATCTGGGTCTCCCACCACCAGGGTGGCAGGGTCCAAACACTTGGGCCACCTTCCGTTGCTTTTCCCAGGGCATCAGCAGGGGGCTGGATCAGAAGCAGAGCAGCCAGGAATGAATCAGCACCCACATGGGAGCTGGCGCTGCGGGGTATGGCTTTACCTGCTACATCACAAATCCAGCCATAGCAATAAATTTTAAAACAAAAAACCAGTATGTAAATCAAAATGGAATTCTTAAAAAAAGTTGAAGGCATAGAAATGCAGAAAAAAACAGGAATGTAATACAGAGAGAACAAGTGGAAAACAGAAAATAAAACCTGAGCCTTAAGTGCAAATATATCAATAAAAATGCATAAATGATCTAAATGCCAGGAAGCAGAAAAGCGCTTTAAAAAACAGGACCCACCTGGCCGGCGCCGCGGCTCACTAGGCTAATCCTCCGTCTGCGGCACCGGCACACCGGGTTCTAGTCCCAGTCGGGGCGCCGGATTCTGTCCGGTTGCCCCTCTTCCAGGCCAGCTCTCTGCTGTGGCCTGGGAGTGCAGTGGAGGATGGCCCAAGTGCTTGGGCCCTGCACCCCATGGGAGATCAGGAGAAGCACCTGGCTCCTGGCTTCAGATCAGCGCAGTGCACTGGCCGTAGTGGCCATTTGGGGAGTGAACCAACGGAAGGAAGACCTTTCTCTCTGTCTCTCTCTCACTGTCCACTCTGTCAAAAAAAAAAAAAAAAAAAAAAAAAAAAACCGGACCCACCCACCAGCTGTCTAGGATGTAACAGCACCGGCAGGTGGGCAGACACCAATGTTAACGCAAAGAAAGCAGCGGTGCCTGAGACCAGATTCAGTGACCAGAACGGAGCCAGGCATAGCGGCCAGAAAGGTCAGTGCAGCAAGACAGCTGGACGACCAGCCACGCGGCGTGAATCAGAAACAGGAGTGCAGGGGAAACAGACGGTTCCATCACAGTTGGAGACCTGAGTACCCTCTCACCAGCTGCTCCAACAGTGCCACAAACTCAGCAGGACAGGAGCGCTCCCCGCACCGGCAGCCCTGGGAGCCGAGTAGCGGAGCTCCCCACCACGCACAGGCCCAGGAGCCGGACTCCCCACCACGCACAGGCCCAGGAGCCGGACTCCCCACCACGCACAGGCCCTGGAGCCGGACTCCCCACCACGCACAGGCCCAGGAGCCGGACTCCCCACCACGCACAGGCCCAGGAGCCGGACTCCCCACCACGCACAGGCCCTGGAGCCGGACTCCCCACCATGCACAGGCCCAGGAGCCGGACTCCCCACCACGCACAGGCCCAGGACCAGAACTCCCCACCACGCACAGGCCCAGGGGCACCACACCCCGGGCCACACAGCAAACCTGAGATGGAAGAGAACCACCAAGACGGAGTGTATCTGCGGCCCTCACAACCATGCCGGGAACCAGAACAGAAAAGACGAGGAGCGTGGACACCGCCGGACACTCGGAAACTGAATGACACCACTCCACGTTAGAGGTTTAAGAAAAATAAAAATAGGCTGTACACAACATGTAAAGATTCTAGCCTAGCGATGGGGAGAACTGACAGCTGTGACAGCTCCGGGTCCCAGGGCCCCCGACTGTGCACGCCAGCTCTGGAGGCCACGTTCCTGTCAGAATGCCAGCAGTGCAGAGGGACGGCGAGGAGGGCACAGTGCGAGTGACTGGGCGTGGCTAGCGCGGGGCTGTCTTGTGGGCGGCCGCGGTCGTGGGAGTCTCAGGGGATGGCGACTGGCGCAGCCCCCGGGGCAGGGGCCTCCCCACCACTCTGCAGCGTGTCTCAGGCACTGCACTGAAGCATTTTGATGGACTGCCACTATTAGCACCCCCCCATGCTTTTTTTAAAGATGTATTTATTAATTTGAAAGGCAGAGTTACACAGAGAGATCTTCCATCTGTTGGCTCATTCCCCAAATGGCCACAGTAAGCCAGGCTGGGCCAGGCAGCAGCCAGGAGCCAGCAGCTCCATCCGGTCCCCATGTGGTGCAGGGGCCCAAGCATTTGAGCCGTCTTCCACGGCTTTCCCGCCTCATTGGCAGGGTGCTGGATCGGAAGTGGAGCAGCTGGGACTTGAACCGGCGTCCACAGGGGTTGTCAGTGCGGCAGCTGGCAGCTTCACCTGTCGGGCCACGAGCCCAGCCCCATTTCTAACTGGGAACTGAGGCACTGCTTGCCATGGAGAGGCTGCTCTGGCGTCAGATCCCACAGCCCTGGGAGACTGAACCAACTCCTCTTTCTGAATGCGGGAGTCTGGGCTGTTTATCCAGAAACTGAGCCGGCAGGCGCAAGTGCAGTCGACGTCCTCTGGCCCAGGCCCCGCCCCCAGCAGGTTCCTCACGAGGACCGGCGCAGCTGCGCTTCCAGCCGACCCCTGCTGGAGGCTCCGACAGGGGCGCAGCGGCCACGACCTCACCCCCCCCCCCCCCAGCTCCCAGTCTCCCCTCGGGACCCCGGCGCCTTCCTGTGGCCTGGGGCGGCCTCGGGACTCCTCGCCGCACCCCCTCCCTCACCCCTCCTTCCACGCAGGCCGGGGGTCTGTAAATAGGCAGACTCCGGAGGAGTGACCCCAGGTGATTTCTCCAGGCACAGGAAAACACTGATGGGTGTTCCACACTGGTGTGGGGCCCATGCCCTCCACGGCAGCGCACACTGGGGTGTGCAGAGCGCACGAACACGGGGGCAGGGGCCCTGCTGCTGGCTACGCCGCACAGTGACTGGCCTCGGAGCATTGGACTCGTCATGGGTATAGCGATCACAGCTGCTCCTGCCCGTCTCAGCTGAGCGGGGCCGGGAGCGCCTCGGCAGCGCTAAGGGAGCCCGCAGGGGACAGCACCACAGCCTCGCCGGAAGACTCCCAGTCTCGCTGCCCAGGGGCCCTGAGGCTCCCAGGCCTCGCCTGCAGGAGCAGAGCCTGGACATGCCCGCAGCCAGCTCCTTCAGCCAGCCAGATCCCCAGATCCCACGCATGGGCCAGGGTCCCAGGCAGGGGTGTGCGTGTGTGTGTGTGTGACGCGCACAGCCCAGCAGGGGCCAGGGTCCCAGGCAGGTGTGTGTGTGTGTGTGTGAGACACACACAGCCCAGCACGGGCCAGGGTCACAGTCAGGTGTGTGTGTGTGTGACACGCGCACAGCCCAGCACGGGCCAGGGCCCCAGGCAGGGGGGTGTGTGTGTGTGACACGCGCACAGCCCAGCAGGGGCCAGGGTCACAGGCAGGGGTGCGTGTGTGTGTGTGTGACACGCGCACAGCCCAGCAGGGGCCAGGGTCCCAGGCAGGGGTGCGTGTGTGTGTGTGACACGCGCACAGCCCAGCAGGGGCCAGGGTCCCAGGCAGGGGTGCGTGTGTGTGTGTGACACGCGCACAGCCCAGCAGGGGCCAGGGTCCCAGGCAGGGGTGTGTGTGTGTGTGTGTGAGAGATGTGCACAGCCCAGCAGGGGCCAGGGTCCCAGTCAGGTATGTGTGTGTGTGTGTGACACGCGCACAGCCCAGCAGGGGCCAGGGTCCCAGGCAGGGGTGTGTGAGTGTGTGTGACACGCGCACAGCCCAGCAGGGGCCAGGGTCCCAGGCAGGGGTGCGTGTGTGTGTGTGTGACACGCGCACAGCCCAGCAGGGGCCAGGGTCCCAGGCAGGGGTGCGTGTGTGTGTGTGACACGCGCACAGCCCAGCAGGGGCCAGGGTCCCAGGCAGGGGTGCGTGTGTGTGTGTGACACGCGCACAGCCCAGCAGGGGCCAGGGTCCCAGGCAGGGGTGTGTGTGTGTGTGTGTGAGAGATGTGCACAGCCCAGCAGGGGCCAGGGTCCCAGTCAGGTATGTGTGTGTGTGTGTGTGACACGCGCACAGCCCAGCAGGGGCCAGGGTCCCAGGCAGGTGTGTGTGAGTGTGTGTGGCACGCGCACAGCCCAGCAGGCTCTCGCTGTGGAAAGCAGTAGGGACGCGCTACCTTCTTCAGCTCGATGATCTCATCGTACATGTCTTCCTTCTCTCGGTACACGGGAGTCCCGGGGACGTGACCTGGAGAGACACACCTATACAGGTGACCTGGGAAAATCACCTCAACAGTACTACGAGCTGTAGCTATAGTTCAAGGAAAACTGGGACTTATTACTCTTTTTTAAAAAGAATAAAAAAGCAAAGTAAAGCTGCTTCAGCACCCCTAGCCTGATGGTTTGGAAAGTGTGGGAGCGCGGCTGGCGGTTGACTCCCAGCTCACTGGGCAGCCGAGGGCCGAGGAGGCCAAGGCAGCCGACTCCAATTTCCCCAAGCAAACGGGGTAAAGGCTGAAGCGAGAGAATGCACACGGGGTCAGCCTGACTGCGGTGGACACACGGCAGCACTTGGTGCTCCCAGGCTGCCTAACACACTGGGAGTCGGAGTCGGGCGGGGCGGGGCGGAGAGCAGTGCGCAGTGTCCGCGCGTCCTCCGCTGCCCTCTGTCCAGCCTCTGCGGAAAGCCGGGCCGGGCACACAGCAAAGCCCTGGGAGGAATGCGCAACCGTGAGACAAGCCCGTTTTCTGGGTGAGTCGAGGCTTTTCAGGACCGTCGGCCTTGCCCGTGTGTTTCTTGTTTTCTAGCAAATTTAAGGAAGACTGGTTTAGGGAGGCGACAGCCACGCGGGGACACTCAGGTGGAAGGGCCTTTCCCGGGGCACTGCTCCACGACGCTGCGGTTTCTTTTTTTTTTTTTTTTTTTTTTGACAGGCAGAGTGGACAGTGAGAGAGAGAGACAGAGAGAAAGGTCTTCCTTTGCCGTTGGTTCACCCTCCAATGGCCGCCGCGGCTGGCGCGCTGCGGCCAGCGCACTGCGCTGATCCGATGGCAGGAGCCAGGAGCCAGGTGCTTTTCCTGGTCTCCCATGGGGTGCAGGGCCCAAGCACCTGGGCCATCCTCCACTGCATTCCCGGGCCACAGCAGAGGGCTGGCCTGGAAGAGGGGCAACCGGGACAGAATCCGGCGCCCCGACCGGGACTAGAACCCAGTGTGCCGGCGCCGCTAGGCGGAGGATTAGCCTAGTGTGACGCTGCAGTTTCTACACAGCAGAGCCCGCACCGGAAGCCAGACGTCGGCCCATGCCGAGCAAGGCCCCCTGGAATCCAAACACTCCCGGCTTCTCCTGAGCCATGTGCGCGTCTCCAGCCATGTGCTCACTGCTGCTGGTGGAACGCCTGAGCCACGACCCCTGGGCTCCTACAGCTTCACTCAGGCGACCGGGGAGGGGGCTGCTCGGGGGGTGGGTCCACGCGCGCTCCCAGGCGAGGTCTGATTCCAGGGGCTGGGTCAGACTTCGTGGGTTGAATGTGCATGGGTTTAATACGACAGACCAGAAGACTCAGTGCAAGGGTCCCTGGTCAACCTTCCTGGTTGAAGGGGCGCACCAGCAGTGAGCGGTGTGCAGACGTCCCACCATGGCCACTTCAGAGCTGCCAGCACAGTGCGGACCAGCTCCCAAACGCTACAGGTGGACCTGCGGCTCTCACAGGCCAGTGGGAGCCAGTGCCAGCAGACCACTGCCTGTGGAGCGGGACCGCCACAGGCCACTGACGCCACAGGCCACTGACGCCACACAGAGAGTGGACAAAACACACCGGGACGCGAGAAGACCATGACAGTAAGTCGGACACATGACACGACGCATCCTGGCTTGGCACCCCCACCTCCCCCGGCCTCTGTGGGGCAGGCAGGGCCAGCAGGCACCCTGGCTCAGCGCCCCCACCTCCCCATGGCCTCTGTGGGGCGGGCAGGGCCAGCTCGTACCTTGCTTGGCCGAGCCCAGCCAGAGCTTCTGTGGCGACAGGGACGTCCTGCTGCTCAGAGGCATGCTCCCCGCTGTCTTGAGAGACCTCCAGGACGTCACCTTCCTCGGCTTAGAGCAATAGGGTGACTCTGCGAAGCCAAGTGTGGTTTCAGGGGTGAACGGCAGCCCTGCCCACCACACTCCACACCACATGCCCCAGCGCGTGGCCGCTCTGCCAGCCATCCCGGCAGGCCTCATGAAGCCAGCAGCCAGGAGCTTCCTCCAGGTCTCCCACACGGGTGCAGGGCCCAAGCACTTGGGCCATCTTCCACTGCTTTCCCAGGCCACAGCAGAGAGCTGGATCGGAAGTGGAGCAGCCGGGCTCGAACCGGCGCCCATATGGATGCCGGCACTGCAGGTGGTGGCTTAACCTGCTCTGCCACAGCGCCGGCCCCTTTTCTAGGACATTCTTGATGTTCTCATCAAGATGAAGAAAATATTTTAAAATTCTTCTCTGTCTGGGACTTCACTTTAAGTAAAATATAACAGATTTATGCAAAAACAAAGGCTCTCATTAAACATTCTTTTTTTTTCTTTTTTGACAGGCAGAGTGGACAGTGAGCGAGAGAGACAGAGAGAAAGGTCTTCCTTCCGTTGGTTCCCCCTCCAATGGCTGCTGCAGCCGGTGCATCGCGCTGATCCAAACCCAGGAACCAGGTGCTTCTCCTGGTCTCCCATGGGGTGCAGGGCCCAAGCACTTGGGCCATCCTCCACTGCACTCCCTGGCCACAGCAGAGAGCTGGCCTGGAAGAGGGGCAACCGGGACAGAATCCGGCGCCCCGACCGGGACTAGAACCCGGGATGCAGGCGCCGCAGGCGGAGGATTAGCCTAGTGAGCCGTGGCGCCGCATTAAACATTCTTTTTAAAAAGTTGATTTTTTAAAACATTATTTG